AACAATATTGGATTGCTTGACTGAAACTTTATAATAGTAATATAGGTTGAATAATAACATGTTTTACTCCATTAGATTTTGGACTTTTGTTGCAAAATACATCTTCTAGCATTTGTTGCATGAGACATATCATTTACGGGTAACAATTGACTTTGATAACAAAGCCTCACTTTTTTAACAACAACAAAACTAAAAAAGTTTCCCTTTTATTAATAATGTATTTTACTTCAGTTCACCAAAAACCCCCTTTTCTCATATTAACTTGGATTCTTCTACGTCCTTGGATAATGATAAGGTCTATCTATTTTATTCTTCTTTCGTTGTTGCAATTACGAGTGGGGCAAACATTTCCACTACCTCATGAGTAAAATTGTCAGTAACTTTTATATTTTCACATTATTTTGTTAAATGATACAAATGCAAATTCCTTTTAACATTGTTACTGTTCTCTATGGACATTTCCCTACATTCTCTGTAATAATGGACTGAGAAGGATGGCACAGCAGCTGTAGAGAAACCTAATCCTATCATATAATTACCAGATAATGATTTGAAAATCCATTTTCTCTCTAGCTCTAAAACTATCTTATCTATACATTGATTTTACTAATTAAAAAACAAAAGCGTAAGATTAAAATAGTTTAGAGTAGAGATTATAGTCATTAGGTTAATGAAAGTGATGTGTTTCACACCTGACCACCATAAATAAAAGATAAACTAATTGACTCAAGATGGCAGAAGTCAGAAGGTCAATAGTATAGGTCAACAGGCCTGGTCATTTCATTAGTGTATCTTCTGCTCTGAGTTGCACAAACACTCAGGAGTATTAAGGCTGCAGTACTTGATGAAGAAAGATTGTTATACAAGTGTTTTGGAAACTGATCAGTAGTTATTTTATAGTTACATGATCTGGAATGTGACTTTTGGATTGTATTTTACTGTGGTTTATCTGAAAATTAACAATTAAGATACTTAATTTAAGGATTCTATTCTTTTTTTTTTGGATTAACATCAGTTGCGGAGATTTTACACAAACTTTTGGGCATGAATAAAGCTGTTTCCATGGTCAGAAATCAGAACAGTGATCAATTCTGGTGACATTCAAAGCAGAGTTTGGATATTTTAGAAACCGCCAAGTTTAGATATTTGAAGTTAAGAACATTTTGGATACATTTGCATCAGTCATCATCAGAAGTGGAATGTTTATTTCTGCTGTACAGATTTAGAAAAACTAATTTGGACAATTTAGCTAGAATTTACAGTCTGGAATTTTGATTATAATTCAATATGCAGAACTCAACAATAGAAATGACTTCTCAAGGTGGGGAATTTCTTTTGTTTTTGTATTGGGTTATTTAGACAAATCTGATAAAATGCACTGAATTATTATGGTGTTTAGGAAAGGGTTGAACAGTACATTTAAGTATCACAATAGCTGGTTGATATTTTCCATGTAGATTTTATTTACGAAATAGTGAAATGTATTTCCATGCGTACATTGTATGAGAATTCTGGGCAATTATAATGTGTTAGAGTGAAATGAGAATTTAACTCATAGAAAGCGCGGACCTAGGTTATAATGGGCAAGACATCAAATGTTTCTTACTGCTGGGGTTTTCAATCAGAAGGTGGTTCACGCCTTTTTTTATCAGATTTTTGTCGTAGTAATTATTCTAGTTCATGCTTTTTGTATCTTTACGATATGAATATACTGATGAACATGTAAGATGTTCTGAAGAATGAATTTACAAAGGGAAAAAAAAACATTTTTCTTCCTAGATAATGATGTTGACGACACCATGCAGTATGATATAATATATATGACATTTTGTTTGAACAGCAGTTTTTATCCATATGTTGAGGTACAACTATTTTAGAACTATTGTGTATCAAGGTAGATGATATTGTTGTTTAGTTAGTTAGGGTATCAGGTCTGGTTTTGTAATTGTTGGTTTATAAATCAACCCCGGTGAAAAGTGATAGAAATGATTGGTAAAATAATAACAAAGTTAGAGAGTAGCTGACGCCACTCTTCAAATAGGTATGGTAGAGGTGCCTATATGACGCGAATATCTACTCCAAAACTATTATGCATTTCAAGTGTATAGCAGTACTTGGTTTTTGGCAAAAGGCAAGTTAATGGAAAACACATGGTGGCAGTTGAAGGTATCTGGTTCCTTCAACATTCCTCACTGGTACCAGGCTGTCTGGCCAACTTAATTTTTACCAGATGGTAGGGCACAGGTGGGTGGGCGGTGCTATGTAATTCAGATTGACAGGCGAATAGTTCGTAGTGTATATGGATACTGTCAGTAGGCATCTCGACATGAAGCAAGATAGTTTATATCAGCATCAGTGGATTGTCATGAAGGGTAAGAACTTAATTATTTTATGCCTTCATGCATTCTCAGAATTTACAGGAAGTATTAGAAATTTCCTTTAATTTGTGCTGGAAAAAGTCTTGAAGTTCTCAGAAGTATGTAGGAGTTATAGAGTGGGTAAATTTTGGTGGTTTCAGCAACTTCTTGCAATTGTAGATCTTGTGAGAATGAAATGAATAAGAAAATTGTATTTACGACTTTTGGGTTGTTTAGTTAGTATTGTGGTTCATATTGACTGTTTTGTTTAGTGGTGTGGTTTACAAGGGAACATTAAGAAAGTTTGAATACTGTAATAGTAAGGGATAGCAATCTAATTATTCAAAGTTTTACAGTTATGTTGTATGCCATTTAATCCATTCAAAAACTGTGTATGCATCTCATTTATTATGTAGAATGTTAAATAAAATCTCTGGCTGTAGCAGCAAAATGACAGATATTCTGGAATTGGAATCCATCAAGAAATGAATTTAAGCCAATTGTTGAGAGTATGGTTTAGATAGATAGTCTGTGAGGATTCTGTATAATTATTGTAATTAGCTATTTGATAGCTGATAGGAAGAGTTCAGGTTGATAATGAAGTGCTATAATACAATAATGAACACCATCTGTATACTGTCTTATGTTCATATGTTCATCTACAGATCAGATAAGACTTTAGATAGGAACATCATCTCTTATCTGTTATCTTCATTATTTTAACTGACCATACCTTATGGTCAATATCAAAAGTCGAAACTTGCACTTAGAGAGCTCTGTCCTTATCAGTTCCTGAGTGTTATGGAATTTGATAAGGGTTCTGCTTGCTTGTGTTGTATTTCTTTAATTTGAAGTTCAAAATAGCAATTGAAATTTTCATTGGATTATGTGTATGAAAATCCTTGATTTTTAATTAATATTTTGAGTATTTCATAAAAATATAATAATCAACGTGATCTCTACCTTCTAAATGTTAGGATAAAAAATAACAATTAAACACTGAAATGACTATAAATGGTTATCTATGAAACATCTGAAAAATGTGATTGAAATATCTTCTGGTGTTTAATTATATATTTTGATAAACATAGACTTTGGTACACTGCCAGATCCCCCTCCCTTCCTTGCGTCCTGTACCTTGAAAACTATATTAGAAAATTATCATCTCAACTGATAAGATCTAAAAATAATTTCTGGACAAGCTGTAACTAATCTAGCCAACAGATAGCAATTCATCCTCCCTGACCCTTTTAATATTGGTGAAGGCAGATGGTGAAATACAGATAGAAACATGGCCAAACATCTGCAGTTAATATTATCATCCAGTCTTCAATGTCTCTTTACTTATTTGATGATGTGAAGCCGACCCTAGATAATGTCAAGATAAAACACTTTCAGTAAGTAATTACTACACCACAACGCTACAAAACATTGTTTCTAGTATATTTACTTATTTACTAGTAATCTTCCGTTTTTGACTCAAGAATTTTAGAATATGTTGTAAATGCTGTGGATTTTTGGAATATGATTTTTGTTGCTGTACAGAATTATTTTGGTCAAGGATTTTAAGATTATTGCTGAATTTTGGATTCTCTGTGGGTTTTGGATTTGACTGTGTTTAATTAATGTGATTGGATTAATAATTCAAGGTCGAATGAAATGAATTAATTAAAGGATGGCTGTGGTGAATAATCTTTTTATTTTACATAAAATCTTCTTTCTCTGTATTTACCTTTCAATTTTGAATATTATGATGAAATAATTCAAATTTTGTCATATCTCAATCAGTTGAACGCCCAATCGCTAATAACTGCTGCTGACAATTGTTAAATTTTAAAAAAAATGCTTTAATTGTTGAATTATTGTGTACATTGTTTAAAAGACAACATGTGTTCTGTTTAATATTATCTATAAATTGATGCAGTGAAAATAGAAATTCAACATCTTTCTCTATTCTCCAACTGATGATAATTTAGGGTTTTTGTAAGAATAATTTGTAAATTGACAACATATTGTAAAACAAGTGAAAAGATTAAGAGTAATGTATTGTTGTAGAGGAATTGTTTGATGTTTTATATGTTTAGATCGTGCGTTTACTAACCCTATTGTTAGTGTGTGTATAAATTGATGACAATGAGAGAGAAGAAGGCATCTCACATCTGGCTTGATTTGAATAGTTAAAGGTAACATCTTGTTGGCTGTGTCACTCCACCTGCCTCCATCCTCGCTTCAATATTCACCAGCTATTTTAGTTCATACTGTCATGTTTCCTCAGATAATATCATTGATTTCATCATGACATATTATATTCTCACATAAAAATTGATTCTGTTTGATTTTATCTAGGATGTGAATACCACAAAATGTGGTCTCGAATTCTTGTATCTTAATTTATAAATGCTGTAATAGAATATGTACTCATTGTTTATAATTAACTTTAGCATTTGTCGAATAGAGATTATCATTTCTATTATAGATATCTATAATCTAGATAAACATCTAACAGAATTGTCACCTTCAATATGTAACAGATGATTTCTACCCTTTTCCTCTATTCTTTATATCAGAGTTGACTGGCTTCAATATTTTATTAAACTTCATTATTACCAGTAAACAAATATAATAATATTCCTCGGTGAACAGATGATAGCCAGTGAGTTAAGTGAATAAATGATACGGGAAGGAATAAAAGAAATAAAGAATAGAATTATACTGGTGGCTCGTGCCAGTCATTACTCTATTCAATCTGCTAGCCAATCAGCTGTGTGTATTAAATGCAATGATGATTGAACTCGGAGGTTCTACTGGTCACATGTCATTGTTTCAGTTGACTGAATTTGATGTTTAGTTGATTGTTTGCGACTACTGGTATCAATTGTATTAGAATTTTCCTATGGTATAGTGTTGATGTTTGATGTGATAAAGGATTAAGATGTATAATGTTGTAGTCAGTCTAGTGTATAACTAGTTAGTTGACGGGTATTTTGAGGACTAAATCTGAACATTTCACTATTTGTTTGTTAAAACTGTCAAGTGTAAAATGGAGACACTATAGTAAAATCATTAATATTAACTATCACCACGGAACATTTACTCTGTGTTGTATGGATATGGTGTTCTAGAACTAACTTTATACTTTCCATGGATAATAGGTGTTGGACATATCATTATAAGAATTAGATATTTGACAATATTAAATTCAAATTTGTGCGTCATCCTTGCAGATAATTTCTGGATTAGTTAACATATTTCTACAGAAAAGGTATATTTTCAAACAATGATATTATTTGCATAAATTATAAATTTTGTTTTGTTGACTTGAAAAAAAACATGAATAATTATATAATTGACATAAGTTTTGTTAAATAACATATTGGATTGTTTTTTTTATTTTGTTTATTAGAATATTTGTATACATAGCTGAATATTAAAACCAGGCATAATTGATAGTGTATCTATTGTGCTGTATGATATATAGTCACTTAAACAGCTGTCTCTAAACATCATATATAACACTCAATTGAAAAATAAATGGCTTTCATTTAATTCAGTTAGATTGAATACTATGGTGAATATTTTAAATTGCCTGTATGGAATGGAAAGACATAATCTTATATACATGTATACTGTTTGTCCAGTGCTTGCTGAAAAGCTTTATTCTCATCTGAATATTGCTGAATTTAAATGGAACTTTTGAAATAGATAAGAAATGGAAATTTCTATTATAAATGAAATTATTTTGAAAGATGAGGAATATCAAGTTTTTTCTAAATCAAATTTATTTAATTTCAGATGCACACCTGAACTTCAACAATTTCAGCCTTTTTTTTTAGAATGTAATTTTGAAAGTTATTATCATATCAAACTATTGTATATTTCAGATTATAGAAGTAGCATAATGCCAGATTCCCCTGATATAAAAGGTCCTATGAATCCAACAACTACACCACCTAACAGTATGGCTGGATTATTACCACAACCACGTCCTATATCTAATAGCAGTAATATATCAGGTAAGCTTCCTTCATATCTTACACCAGGCCACTTCTGACCACAAGAGTTGAGCATACAAATTTTGGAGAAATTGGGGCCATATATTTAATAAGCAATATTAGAAAAGGTTTTGTGAATTTGAGCTTAAATGTTCATAAGTTTTATGATAGCTGCCTCAAACTGATGGTCAATATAATAATTCATCATAGTCTTAGTCTGCTTCAAATCATTTTTCATTTATAAACATAACATTGTTTCCTGAATAATATTGTGTTCCAGGTACAGAACTTTATTAGATTAAAACCAATGTTTTGTGTGATTATGTTAGGCTGATTTTTTTTTAATCAATATTGTTTTGAATGTTGTCTTGGGGGAATTTTTTGGGGTAAATTTATGTAAATTGGGACTGAACTTAAGCTTTGCTGCATTTTGGTATTGTAGGATCCAAGGGTAAAAAGAAAGAAAATCTAATGCCACCTTTGCTTATATAATTACCTCCACTCCTCATTATAAAGAAAAAATATTACTTTTTATTTGTATATTACCTGGCAGAAGAAAATGATTGAATTTTAATTTTAATTTTTCAGTAATGAATGGTTCCCACTCACCATTAAGTAGTTTAAATGGTAGAACCCCCTCCCCACCATCTATGATGAATCCTGCAGTAGGACAACAATTACCTCCAGCATGTGGGGCCAGACAACTGAGTAAATTAAAGAGATTTTTAACCACATTACAACAATTTGGATCTGATATTTCTCCAGATATTGGTGAACGTGTTAGAACTCTAGTCCTTGGCTTAGTGGTAAGTGTGATTTCCAATAACCTAAATGCTTTGGACCATTATTCATTTCATTGAAACAATTGGTATGCTTGGTGTGTGATGTTACATTGTTATTTCATAGGTGCAAAGATGCAGTGTAGTTAAACATATATGAAGAAATTTCTTGGATATACCAGTTCCTACTACTGATATTACTAAAACGTGCAATAATTGATCATTCTATCTGTACTTTTTTCAGAATTCACATTTATCTATAGAAGAATTTCACTCTAAACTACAAGAAGCCACAAATTTTCCTCTCAGACCATTTGTTATACCATTTTTAAAGGTGAGCTTATTCTGAATTCTATGAAATACTTTTTAACTTGGATACCAAATACTGAAGGTTGAAGTGAACACATAATTCAAATGAAGGTAACTTTTGAAATAATTGTAAGTGTAAACTGTTAATGTGAAATTATACCAGAGCTCATTTTATAGGCATCTCAACTTCACTAATCATATATTTCTTTATTATAGGCTAACCTACCATTATTACAAAGAGAAATGTTACATTGTGCTAGAATGGCTAAACAAACTCCTCAACAATTCTTATCTCAGAATGAACATGTGATATTTGACGCTGCCCATTCACCTATAGAATCACATGATTCTTATAACTCAGAATTTAATGATAATGGCAAGAGACGATCTCCTGAAAGGTGAGTATTATTAAAGGAAGTCATAGTATACACAATACAAATACATGTTACTGGAGTATAGGATTTATAATCATCTAGTGGTTATGTCCCTTTAATGAAAACTTTGTGAAAATCTTCTATTATTATAAGCCTCTGTATAAATATCCCTAAGCTATGCTTTTATTCAAAGCCTATCTTTTGTAGGATTAAAAACCTTTGTTTGGGTCGTGTGCAAAGATGGTCATTAGATTATCAAAATATTGCTTAATTAATTAATTATTACCTTTTGTCATAATGAATTAAATTTTATCTTGTTTCTTCCATTTTCAGACCTAAAGAAAATGGAATAGACAATCACCATGATATGAATCCAGCTAAGCGACATCATCCAATGAGTCCATTAGGCACTAACCACATCAGTCCTAACAGCTCCCTGAGTCTGAATCCCAATGGACAAATAAGACTAGAGGATATCAGTTTATCTAGAGAATTACGAGAAAGGGAAAGATTAGATAGAGAGAAAGTAGAACGAGAAAGGATGGATAGAGAGAGAGAAAGAGAAAGACATTTCCCTAACTATAGTAAGTTTATTTTGGAATATATTCAGTGTTGACTTGCCTATTTGTAAGATTGATTGTATTTTGTTTCTAAGTATCTTATATAGACATTGTGTTCAAAAAAAGTCTTGTAGATTTTATTTCCACTAATAATAAGATGTTTCATTGTTATCTTATTACAGATTATTCAAGAAATGAAAGTTTTGATCCATTAGAAAGATTTGATGATGATTGGAGACAAGTTGAATCTGTAAGTATATACAAAAATTGTTTATCAAGTTGTATCAGATTGACTATAAATTGAGTATTATTGTTGTATACAGTGATAAGTAGTAGTAGACCATGATAATGTGATGTTATTTGATTAAAACAATGTATGTATTTGTTTTATTGGGATAATTATAATTAATAATCTCATCCTAGATGTTACACTGTATAATTGGAATGGTAGATAAAACTAAGAGAGCTCTAGCTGTATTACAAGAGAGAAGTTTACGAGATCGCGAAGAATTATCAGTCTGGATGAGACGCCATGCCGAGGGAATGGATCAGGATGTTAAAAAAAGAACCAATGATCTCATGCAATATACCAGACGACAAACAGAAGATAAAATTCGAGATGTTAGAAGTCGAGCAGGTACGAGAAACACTATAATATTTTTTATTATTAACACTGGTGTTTTTGGTAATATTTATTAGAAGTCAGATTGAGTTCAGTTATTATATTGACAAAGCGAATATCTTAGGCTGAGATTGTCTCTATTTTATACTGATTAAAGGAAATGATAAATTCAAGTTGGCTACTATTTAATCACTGGAAATTCTTGAGTTGAGTATAAGGAAGTGAAAGTTGGCATCCATGGCACCTTAGCTATTTTCAGATGACATTCCTTTCTACTGAGCTATTTCACTATTCCTGATTTAATCTTTCTACTTCTTGTTATTTTTGTGTACATGTTCCAAATTATAGAGTGTACTTACTTTCAGAAGAAGCTGTAAATGAGGTTAAAAGACAAGCAATGTTAGAGTTACAGAAAGCTATGACGGCAGCTGAGCAGAAGGCGTCTGATTTAGTAGCAACTGAAAGATTAAAGATAGATAGATCTATAACAGAAGCTAAAAAACAAGCTCATGAAGAAGTGGCAGCCATGATAAACCATCAGGAAGAATCAAGTGAGGTAGGAGACAGTTTAGTCTCAATTTATAACTTTGTAGTTGAGTGAAACATGAGAAAACATTCTCAGCATGCAAATTGATCAAGAAAACAGCTATGGGAAACATTATTGTCAAATTTCTTAGGTAGAAGGAGTTCACTCAACTACAGAGTGAGATATGAAGGATTAACATACTCTTCATTGTAATGTTTACAATTGGAACTTAGCTGTAAAAAACTCTGAAATTTTAAATCTAACGTAAGCGTATTAAAAATAATGTGTTTATTTTATTATTTTCAGAGTTGTTGGAACTGTGGAAGGAAAGCAAGTGAAACATGTAGTGGTTGTAATATTGCGCGATATTGTGGCTCATTCTGTCAACATAAAGATTGGGAAAACCACCATCATGTTTGTGGAAAATCCCAAGTAGCTAGTATTGCGGAGGCACGTGATCAGAGGAGATCTACGACTAATAAAGACTCAACTGTTACTTCAACACCTCCTCCTCAAGTTATACAGGATACCCCATCATCTCCTAATGGTACAGTGGACACTCAGTCTAAATCTCGACCTACCACACCAACAGACAAACAATCAGTACCAACAACAACCGAGGCAGCAACAGCACGTTAAATTAACCAGCAGTGTACTGACACATAATCACTTGTTTTTCATTTCTCTGTGGTGATATAGACATTTTGTTTTATTTCTCAATAAATGTTAAATATGGATATGGACTTGAATAAGACATGTAATCGTGATAGAAATCTGTATGAAGTCCAAGATTGAAGACATTGGAGTGACAAAGATCAGAACTAACTATTTGTGAATGGTAAAATTAGAAATGTGAGGCATAACACTAAATATTATTGTTATTGCGGGGCTATTATTATTATTGGAGGCATTATATTAATATTTCTGTTATATCTAGTCACAGTTAAGGTTTTAATTAATACTATATTGATTATGGGTATTGTAAAAGATCTGAACTTTAACTGTAAAAAGCCAACATAATTTTTTATCTCTAATCATTCTCTTATGGGTGTGTGAATATTTTCTGGTTTAGGTTTATAAAGAAAAGAGTTTGAAATAAAAACTTAAGATCTCAGGTTTTGGATTTTGAAAATTATATCACTTCATGATGTAAAATGGTTCATTTCTTGCAATATAATGGTTGCATTATAATTTTATGGAGTAAGATCTAGCTAGGAAAAGAATAACTAGTTGTGTCCAATTTCAGAAAAATAAAAACTATTACAAGAACATGCAACTGGCAAAAATATTCAAATCAACACTCCTGCTGGACACCCACCCTATTCATGTAAATAAGGCATTGTATTGTGAAATATGTATGTAGATGTTTTAATATATTATATGTATATTTGGATGAGATTTGTTGTTATAATTTTTAATGCATGTTACAGAAAATTTTATTTCTGTAAGTTTGCATCATTGTTATTGCGTTTATTCATTTTTTATTTTTCTGATTCTTTCAAAACAGATCTTAGATTTTTACAATGCTTCGTGTTTAAAGTTAACTAGTCAGTTTTTACTTTTAATTTAAAGGGGTTGAAATTTACCTGAGCCACACTAAGTTTCAAACAGTCTGCTTATATGGGTAGTATCTGTCAGTATCTGTCAGTCATATCTGATAAAAACTTCAATTTGGTTTGTTCGTATAAGTGAATTAAAGACTTTTTCTGATTCTAAAGTCAGCCATAAGTTTTTCACATATTTTTGTTTTATGAAAAGCTTTAATGTGTTTAAAGGTAAGCCTTGAAACAGCAGTCCTATCATTTATAACTCAACATAGCAAGAATTATGGTAAAATAATGATATTTGGTTTATAAGGTAAATTTCCAACCCCATTTATTATTATAGTGAATATTGTTAATTGATATTATTACTAACTTGATATTATTCGTTCCAATTATTCTATGAAATCAACCTGTATCCTTGTCAACTAACCTATTTCTTGACAGTCAACCTTTCTTTAGAGTCAACATATCCTTGTCAACTAACCTATCATATTAGTGAACCTGTCTACTTGTGTTACCCTGGTACATTTAGTGTTAAATTGATTTTCTGTAGTTGTCAATTTAACATTGAATATATTTTGGTATTTATACCAGAAAGGAGTAACCTTGTGTCTTATTCTCGAAAATTTAACAAAGATAGTATCAAGATTTGAAGAAATACAATAATCTGATTAGTTAATAGAACCGAAATTAAGCCATTTTTAGTGATTGACCAATCATAAAAGCGGGACACTTAAAGCAACTTATGTTTTAAGAATAAGGTCCTTGATTCATTATGAATTGAAATGAAATGTTAAATTCTTCTGAAACAACAAAGTTTTTGTATTGAAATTAACCTAGGATCAGTTACTATTCCTGGTATCATAATAAAATTTGTTATTGTAAGGCTCACTTCCTCTCTATCTGTCTATCAGTTGTATGTGAACACTGAATTTATAATAAAATACTCAAATCTGTTACATGTTATGTAAATCTTGTCTCTTTTTTATTTGACTTTTTTAATATTGACCTTCGGGTTTTATCCTTAAATTTGCAACAATTCACCAAGGACAAGCTGTAATCTAAAGACATTTATGTTTTCAAGATGTGGTAAGGGGTTCTAATCCTGGCCAGCCGGCAAATTCTAATAACCTTAGCACATTTCCTCAATATTCCGGATAATAATAATAATTCTACAGATAATCAGTGCTTAAAGTTTTAGAAAGGAGAAATCCATTTGCAGTCTGATATATTGAGTCAGTTATTTGATAATTGATTCCTAGAAACATTTAACCATTGTCCTAACACTCTTACAAAGATCATGTTTTGAGACAGTTTACTCTGTGTTTAACTGGTTCCCCAACGATTTTAGTCTCGATCACAAAGTCGCGAATTATTGACAACTCATGATTTACAAGACTACTGTTTAGACCAGTAAGAAATGCAATAGACCCGAAAGATCAGAATGCCCCTATTGCCAAACGAGATAAAGCTGTCTTTTTGCATTTCCACTGAGAAAAGTGAAAGCCAGCTTAAAACCAGCTTTCATTTGGCCCCCGATAAATTGCCGAACACAAAAAGAGAGGTTCTCGGTTCCAATTTGTGGAAACACACGAAAGCTAGCTCTTTCCCTCAGTGGAAACACGGTTTATATAGAATCTTTCTCAACTCTAACCAGAGTGGCAGAGAAACTGTGAACTCTACAGTAAGCCCATATAAACTACAACTGAAGGGAGACAACCCTGATTTAATTTATATTTCTTCAAACACTTGAATTAAATTCAATTAGTTTAAATATAACAAAAAATACACATAACACATTGCAATCATAGATCTTGAGGTTTAACTAATTTATTTCAAAGAGGGCTTTTGTCCGAGGTGACATTTATGTCAATCTACTATATTGAAACTGTGCTTCTTTCTTGAAGCTTTTTTATGTGGTCTCCAGGCATGTTGACCAACTGTACAACTAAAATAAAACATAATACACATGAAAGATTAGATAACATACCCAAATTGCAATTGCAAACAACAATTCAAAAAGTTAGATTTCCACCAGCCCTATAATTATCATAGCTTTTGAATCAACCGGTCACATCTGAAGGCTGCAAACTTATTTCTCATGAAAAAACCTATAAGAAATAACTAATACTTACCCATTATTCCTACCAGCCTCCACTCTGTTTTTACAACATGTCCATTCTGAATATTCAGACACTTTTACTGCAAATATAATAATACAGACATAAAATATAACTGGAAAATTTATCTCAAATTGATATAGAGAGATTACTTCTTGTTCACTTGTTACTATCCATGTACCTTCAGCAACAATACAATCCTTATCCTACATCTACATCTTATGTGGATAATCATTGTACTGTTGCCAAAGGTTACTACCATACAATACTTGATATCAAAGATGATTGCAAAATATAAACAATAGTTACCTTGATATCCAGGATGATATTGACAATGATCAGTTTGTTGTTGATGTAAACCAGTATAGGGTATCATACAATATAAACAATGTCCATTCTTCAATATATCATAATCATTTGGTTTCATACTAGAATAAAATATAGATGATAGCCTTAAATGTTTAACAGAGCAACTCTAGTAATTATTTTACCAGACATTTGTTTCAATTACTAAGATTTTTAAAGACAATCTTTTCCTTGTTAGACATTTACCTGATATTCATGCATTCAAACGTAAAAAAGAGGCCTGTGTATTACATACAGCACATTAAGAATCCAGCTTCAGAATACCCAGGCACTGTCTAGTGTCCTGAGTCATACTCACCGTCTCTTGCCATCCTTCTTCTTCATCAAATACTTTTGAGAGAAAACATCAGATAAACTTGACTTGAGATCAGAAAGATTGAAAGCGGAAGTGATATTTCCTGTTTTTGCTGTTTTCCCATTTGAGGAAAAATCCTGAAATGGAAAAATCATTTTTGCAACTAATTTAAATTTTCATTTGAGAACAAGAACATAAAATCATTCCATATTTTCCTGGTGATATATAGCTAGTAAAAGCAATGTCTGTGTGACTCAAAATATTTATAAGATATTGACCACTATATACCAGTATTAAGAAAAAAAAAACTTACAACCAAAACTGGTCTTGAAATTCTCTTTGGTCTGGCCACCTGCTGATGTGCTTCCTGTATTTCTTTACCAATCTTAATTAATTTATTTTGTAGCCTATCATAGTCTATATCATTATGACACCAAACTTTTAATACAGTCTGAGTTTTATTATTATTCATCATCACTCTAGTTTCTATACCATCAATAACTATTATACTGTTGAATTTTACACCAATTTTACTAAATTTCTTACCAATTTTTTCATGGGATTCCAAATACCGACTATTTCCACCAAATAATGGAACATAAACTCTTTTTTTAATGGGACATTTCCGCATCTTTTTATTCATCAAACAACTGAAATTCTTACTGTTGAATTTAATTACTTTCTTTCTGCTTGGTATGTCACCGTCTCTACATAATGACTGTAGAAGTGAGTAGTCTCCCTTTATTGCGTTACGAAGAATAAGAAGAAATTGTGAACCACTGTAATATGATTGTGGATTAATAGCAACAGTTGATATAAAGTCAGTGATAGTTCTCACATGATATTCACTATATTCACTAGATTGAAGTTTATCAATTATTTCTTGTCCTAATACTTCTGATTCAATTCTACAAGTGTTTTTCTTTTCACTCTCTGAAATAATTAAAATAATTACACGATGATGAATATAACTAATAGATTTGATTTTTGATGGTAGAAATAAGATATTTTCATTTCACAAAGGTAGAAAACAGTTACAAACTTAGTCAGGTTTTCAAAGTTGATAATGCAATCACTTTATAATAATATTAAAAATAAGATTTCAGATGACTACATTGTCATGTACGGTAATTAACAAAATTATAACAGGTATAAGTTATATAATCAAACAAATTTGCCTACCTTTTGCTTTCCTAGTACAAGAACACACTGCCATAGCATATCTCTGTACATATTTCTTCTAAATTATCTTTAATTTCCTTATACAATGACATACTTCATTAAATACAATCTTGTCAGTGTGATAAATACATTCATCTGCAGTCATCTTTACAGTCTTTCTTTATCAAACTGAAATCTGATAACAATATCATGCCATTCATGGAGAATAAAATTAATGTCAAATATCTGAATAAGAGTTAATTCTTTCTGAGTCATGCTGTTCCATGTATAATCCATGATGTTGAAATATCACCAGAGCTATAAAGTTCGGCAATTTATGTCCATGTCCATGTGCCTCTATTCCAACCTCTATTGACAAAGTTTTTCGGCTGTTTTGGGGAAATTTTGTTGTTGTGTAGGGTCATTCAAGTTCCATACAAAGGATCACGAATAAAGATACATGTAGATGTTTCTGTCTATGCTAACTGGCAATTAACATTGTTAAGGATCTGTATTAACATAGTGTATGATATTCAAACTTACTTGTGTAAATGATTTTGAGAATCTTATCAATGATGCCCTTAAAAACTCATTGACTTAGTCTTATTCCTCGGCTCTTCTAGATCTACGACACCATCTTCTTCTAGGAACGAATACAAGCCATTCTGACATTGAGTGAGTTCCATATTTTTATACATGTTAATCAAAGTTCTAGAAAAGTAGACTGACGAAATCATTTGAAACAATTCTGCTTTTATCAGCAAAAAATTACTTATCTGTCAAACTACATGTGCAATAACATAGCCCTCTATAAACACTACTTGATCAAGGAAAGGTAACTTTCTATTAATTGGAGTTACTCCCCTTTACCCTATCCATTCTCCAATACTAGGACAAAATGGCTGCAATGATAGCTGCTCAATATGGTTTAGGGGCTACTGTGACAGGTATCTTTCATCCAATAGGTTATGCCAAGGTGTTAATGCAAGTTGGATTTGAACCTCTTCCGCCGCAACCATCTGTGTCTCTGTTTGGTAAAGAACAATGGGTGTATCCAAACATATTCAAGTATATTGGCCACATCAAAAAAGTGGATGGATTTTGGGGTTTGTACAGAGGAGTTTTTCCTAGAGTTCTGTCAGGAACAATTGGAAATGTTGTGCAAAATAACCTCATGGACGCTTTTAAAGAATCCAATAAAAGACCAAAGGAAATTGCACCCATGGATCATGAAGACCAGTTGATGGAATGGGCAAAAGAGTTCTGCAAGGAAACATCACAGGAAACAATTGCTCGCTGTGTTGGATTGATAATTGGCCATCCCTTCCATGTCATAATGTTAAGAGGAATGATTCAGTTTGTTGGCAGAGAATCGAAATATGACTCTATATTTTCCTCAATTGCTGAAATCTATCGAAATGATGGTATTTTAGGATATTTTGCAGGATTATTTCCTCGTCTGATTGGTGAAATTATAACTGTATGGATAACAAACTTTTTAGCACAGCTTATTAATAAATATTTAGTACATGAGAAGGATATGCAGTCATATACAGCAGCTTCATGTGGTCTATTTGTATCTTATGTTACCTACCCTTACATCTTGGTGAGCAACATCATGGCTGTCAATGGCTCTGGCCTCGAGGCATCATCACCACCCAGAATGCCTCGGTATGAGAGTAGTTTAGATTGTTGGAATTCACTCCGAGCCCAGAACCAGTTAAAGAGAGGATCAAGTTTATTCTGGCGTTATTATACAGGACACACAAGATTAGGAAGCGAATATTCTTACTACAGCAAATACCAATAAGAAGTTTATATATTATGATTTATTCATGTCCTTGTATATTCTCTGATTCGGTAGGTATGTAATTGATCTTATTTGATAATGATCATATGTCATATAAAGTACTAGATTTGTTATTGCTAATAATTTGGATGAATGATGGCATATTTAAAGTCAGTGTTTATCTAGGCTCAAAACTTTCGTATTTCACTAGCATGTCAAAAGTTAAGACTCTTTAGCATATTATTAATGAATGATTCTAGATGTAAGGGTTAGTAATTTGTCAAGATGTGCAGCAGATGTCCTGAGAATTGCTGAATAGAATTAATTTGGAAAGGCAAAATTGTACATATATTTGTATTCATCCTCAAATATGGTGGAAAATAGAATGTTTGGGTACAGAATAAGCTGTAAAAGCCACATATGAAATACCATAACCATATTCACTGTTATCTAATTTGATTTGACCAAAACAGTAAAACTGGTTGTTTTTTTTTTTCACATTAATGAGTTTTGAAGGTTTTTGGGCAGATATTCTTCTATGCCTATGTAAACAGACTGTGCAGAACTGCAGCATTCTGTATTTCTAGATGGTAGAGGTTAAGAGTTCATCATAACAATTAGCAGTATAAAGTAGAGTTCTCAACTAGATTTCACCAAAGACTGATTTAATCTGAATATTTTAAAACTATTATTTAATACCCACATTACTGGAGAGCCCAGGGTATATTTTTATAAGTATTTGTAATAATTTGTTTACTTAGGGATTTAAAGGTATATATATGATTGTAACTATAGTAGCTGGATTTTGTTAGCCGCATCATTGTCAACTTAGATTTAGATTTTTTTCTTTCTTAAAGACTAGAGTCAAAATTATTAGAGCTGATACAGTTATTTCCTTTCGCTCAAAATATTTTCTCGGGATTGATTAAATTTTGTTAAAAAGTGTATGTTATTTTCAAAATATAGCTATTTACGGCTTTGAGTTGAGCTTGAAACTGTATTGATTTTTTTACAGTTAATTACAGCATTCTAGTTGAGCTATTATATTGATGTTATTGTATTTAAAGATAATTTGCCTAGTTTCTTTTGATAGATAATTGAAATTTTTATCAAATGAATGTTAGAAATTGTGTTTAATTTTCTATAGTGTTGTATTTTTTTGGCATAACAAATATAAGCAACACCATATAGAGTGCATGCAATCTAATACAAACTATCTGTATTTATAAACAGGAACCACAACTGAATGTAACTACTAACTGAATGACATTTATAATGTATCCATGAAAATCTAAAATTGTCTGTAATATATCAGGAATATGTGTGTTCAAAGTGTGCAGAAATAATATTTTTTAATGTTCAAATCTCACTGACAATGTTAAAACTATTAAATATTACTCATTTTTATGGTTTTTATTTTATTATTTCAACATGAAATGTGAATGAGCATGTAATCTGAAGTCCAATGCCCACCAATCTCTGTTCTGAGCGCATTTTTGAGAAGTTTCACAAAAATATTACTAAAACAACTCAGCATTACTTTCAGACAGAAATTTCAAATAGCTGTAATAAAATTGTCATTATTTTTACACATCAATAGAGGAATGACTATTCTGGTGAAGAATGTTATCCTCAGGGTCATAATACAGGTCAGTTGAGCCTTTAATTTTAAAGGGAGTGTAAATAAGGTTTCTGAAAGTTTTATGTTTATTGGGGAACACTGAAGTAATCGATCTACACCATTCCAATTTTCAATCATACTGTGGTTCCTCAATTCCAATAAACTTAAGTGTTTGATGACGTCACTATTGCAAAGGCCTTAGTGTGATATATGCAGGTTTTGCGATGACGCCATAAAACACTTAGTTTCAGTGGAATTGCAGGAGCCACAGACGTCAGACTGAAAATTGAAATGGTGCATATACACATGAACATTAGGAAAATCTCTTTACAGTCTCTTTAACTACATTATCCAGTGATGCCATTGAGATAGGGTATCCTCATTCTTCATTTTAATCACATCCAACTCTACTGCTGGCCTTACAAACAATAGTCTTTAATGTGCAACAGAAAATGCCTCATCAAAGTACATTTGAAATTTATGAGATTCATAATTGACATTTTGTGGTCTGTTTTCACAAAGAAAAATATGAATTATGTCCCTTTATATGCCATTAACTTTACCTACCATGATTCAGTTCGTGATAATATTCACTTATACACATCAGGCCCGTAACCAGATTTGATTGTTCGGAGGGGCAAGTAATATGTGGGGTAGGGCAATGGTGTTTAGTTGCAGTAATGGGATTGATCGGTTGTCTGAATTTTTCAGGAGGGAAATCCATTGTTTGCTCCCTCAATAGTCCCGATACTTTCTATGTAAATGTATTCAAATACTTCCCTTCTCTATGTACTATGGTAGGTTATTCTCTTGAGACTTGACCCTGATCAATGGGAGCAAGTCAGATGTAATTGATCCAAAGACAGTCAAAACTTTTCACAATCAATATAACAATAACTATAAAAATAAATTTATTTACATTTGCTTTACAAAAGAGACAATTACCAATCAAAACCAAAATATACGGCAGTAAAAACAGCTGCTATTACTACAATTACTGTTAATAAACCCATAAAAACCACAACATCTCTCAAAGCAGAGCTTTTGTGTATCACCAATTCTTTAACATGTACTCTTTTATAATTCTGAAAAAAAGTAACTTAAATTCAGCCTTTAAATTAATGTGGAAGGGAAACAGATTTTGCCATGTTCTTTATCATAATTAGAAATTAATTATAAATCACAACTATTCACTCAAGTAGGTTCATGCATTTCAAGGATGGATCCATTATTACGGTCCTGTTTACCTTCTTCCAGACTGACAACGAAGGAATTAGCATGCACCCGAATCAAAGGACAAAGTAAAGGATTCAAGATAAATTTCATCTACATTAGCCCTGTCAAGTATAGAAAAGTATTATGTTAAACATTTCATTTCACAAAAAAGCGTTAACTACTTGACCACAAATTATCTCTCTTTAGTTTTCCAGGCTACATACTATCTCCGTTTAGTCACCCAGATTACATATTATCTCCATTTTAGTCTCCTAGATTACATACTATCTCCATATAGTCACCCAGATTACATACTATCTCCATTTAGTCTCTCCAGATTACATACTATCTCCATATAGTCACCCAGATTACATACTATCTCCATATAGTCACCCAGATTACATACTATCTCCATATAGTCACCCAGATTACATACTATCTCCATATAGTCACCCAGATTACATACTATCTCCATTTAGTCACCCAGATTACACACTATCTCCGTTTAGTCTCCTAGATTACATACTATCTCCGTTTAGTCTCCCAGATTACATACTATCTCCGTTTAGTCACCCAGATTACATATTATCTCCATATAGTCACCCAGATTACATACTATCTCCATTTAGTCACCCAGATTACATACTATCTCCGTTTAGTCTCCTAGATTACATACTATCTCCGTTTAGTCTCCCAGATTACATACTATCTCCGTTTAGTCTCCCTAGATTACATACTATCTCCATTTAGTCTCCCTAGATTACATACAATCTCCATTTAGTCTCCCTAGATTACATACTATCTCCTTTTAGTCTCCCAGATTACATACTATCTCCATATAGTCACCCAGATTACATACTATCTCCATTTAGTCTCCCAGATTACATACTATCTCCATATAGTCACCCAGATTACATACTATCTCCACAGTCTCCCAGATTACATACTATCTCCATTTAGTCTCCCAGATTACATACTATCTCCTTTTCGTCTCCCAGATTACATACTATCTCCATTTAGTCTCCCACATTACATACTATCTCCATTTAGTCTCCCACATTACATACTATCTCCATTCAGTTTCCCAGATTACATACTATCTTCATTTAGTCTTCCAGATTACATACTATCTTCATTTAGTCTCCCAGATTACATACTATCCCCATTTAGTCTCTCCCAGATAACATACTATCTCAATTTAGTCTCCCTAGATTACATGCTATCTCCATTCCGTCTCCCAGATTACGTACTATCTACATTTAGTCTCCCAGATTGCATACTATCTCCATTTAGTCTCCCAGATTACATAATATCTCCATTTAGTCTCCCAGATTACATAATATCTCCATTTAGTCTCCCAGATTACATAATATCTCCATTTAGTCTCCCAGATTACATAATATCTCCATTTAGTCTCCCAGATTACATAATATCTCCATTTAGTCACCCAGATTACATACTATCTCCGTTTAGTCTCCCAGATTACATACTATCTCCTTTTAGTCTCCCAGATTACATACTATCTCCATTCAGTCTCCCTAGATTACATACTATCTCCATTTAGTCTCCCTAGATTACATACTATCTCAGATTACATACTATCCCACTTAGGTGTTCCAGATTTCAAACTTTATCTCTTTAGTCCCTTGAATACAAATGATCTCTATTATCTCAGATTTCAAATTATCTCCCTTGTGGATCCTAGATTTCAAATTATTTCCCTTTAGTATCAGGTTATAAATTATCTCCCTTTAGTCTTCAGAATTACAAATTATCTCTCTCATTTCCTTGGTGTCTACGGGAGTATGCACTTATTATCCTTCTTAAGTGTTTTCTCTTTAGATTCTGTGTTCGAGCAAAAATACTTAAGCTAATCACACTGGTAACATGTAGTTGTATAAAACAGAAGAAACATACCTTAGGATAAACATAGATGGGAAATGATTGCTTAGAAATGACAGGATATGTTGGTATGCGAGCCGGCAAATATTTATACCTTGTTAATCGTCTATCTACTTCTTCCATTGAGCTTGAGTCTTCAGAACCTTCAAAACGAGAATATTGAATAAAAGTGTTTGAGTTATAGTTTTCAACCGAAAATTAGTTGAATGGTCGAGTAAGCTAAGAAGTAGTAAAGTAGTACTAGTTTGAAAGAAAACATACATGTATCTGGCAGTATAACTCTCCTCTCACCAGTTGACTCTACACGATTAGACGACGAAGATTGTGATGACGAAGATGATGTTCTGGAACTACATTCTTCTGGCACAGTATCTGGTTTTTGTTGTTCTGATACATGGTCTAATATTGAAAATATCGAGGCTGGTGCATCATAATATGATTCTGAAGAAAAGAAAATACAAATCATTATTTTGCAAGAAATAATATGAATGGCAAGATTTCCGATGCGAATTGTGCGTGTTTTTTTTTTATTAATTATTTAACCCCAAAGACATGCGATCACATGTAGGAGAAATGTGGGTATTACATGCCGGAATATTTTGGCTACAATCGCCGTCACTGATGAATTAAAAATTTTCCAATGACATATACAAACAGCGCTGCAATGCTGTAGTTATGTGAGCAACTTTTGGATATATGCCATCGACTCTGATGATCTCTTCTTCCAATATAATCCCACTGGGCTTGGGCGATGTATTAAAATGAGAACTGAATTATATCAGTGATATCTATCTGCAAACGTTAGTAGAAAGATCAGCAATAAATTACATTACAATATTATCTACAGTCACTTAAAATATTTATAAAATATTAGATAATAAGAGTACATTTACAGATAACAAATATTCCTAAACTTTTTATTTTAGTTAAATTTTCACTTAAATATGGTTTGTCACAAAATAATATTCATTAAAGTTCTTAAAGCTCTGATTGGTAGATCAAGTTGTAGACTTCGATCAAATTTCGATTCAAATGTTTTCCAATGTCGAACTTAATATTTTAGGGTTTGGAGACAATCCGAAATCGTTCATTGAAATCCGTAAAGGAAAATACTGAGATTTGAAAAATTTCTATCGTCAAAATTTTTAAACTTGCGATAAATTTTGATCGTTTTCTGACACCGGTGCATCTCAACGTATTCTTTTCTTTATCCTGTTGAAAAAAAGACAAAAAGAAGGTCGAAACTGCAACAGTGCCGATATGTATTGAAGATGAAAATGAGAATTAAAAAGGAAAAATAAGAAGACAATAGTGGAATTACCATTATTATTGGACAAAAGTTAAAAATCTGAAAATCGATAAATTAAAGAAAAATACAGAAACCGTAATCGGTGAGTTTAAAGAAGTTTACCTATCAATATATCAGAAACCGTAATCGTTGAGTTTGAAGAAGTTGACCTATCAATATATCAGAAACCGTAATCGTTGAGTTTGAAGAAGTTAACCTATCAATATACCAGAAACCGTAATCGGTGAGTTTGAAGAAGTTGACCTATCAATATATCAGAAACCGTAATCGTTGAGTTTGAAAAAGTTTACCTATCAATATATCAGAAACCGTAATCGTTGAGTTTGAAGAAGTTAACCTATCAATATACCAGAAACCGTAATCGTTGAGTTTGAAGAAGTTTACCTATCAATATATCAGAAACCGTAATCGTTGAGTTTGAAGAAGTTTACCTATCAAATATCAGAAACCGTAATCGATGAGTTTGAAGAAGTTAACCTATCAATATACCAGAAACCGTAATCGTTGAGTTTGAAGAAGTTGACCTATCAATATACCAGAAACCGTAATCGTTGAGTTTGAAGAAGTTTACCTATCAATATACCAGAAACGGTAATCGTTGAGTTTGAAGAAGTTAACCTATCAATATACCAGAAACCGTAATCGGTGAGTTTGAAGAAGTTGACCTATCAATATACCAGAAAGCGTAATCGATGAGTTTGAAGAAGTTAACCTATCAATATACCAGAAACGGTAATCGTTGAGTTTGAAGAAGTTGACGTATCAATATATCAGAAACCGTAATCGTTGAGTTTGAAGAAGTTAACCTATCAATATACCAGAAAGCGTAATCGATGAGTTTGAAGAAGTTAACCTATCAATATATCAGAAACCGTAATCGATTAGTTTGAAGAAGTTAACCTATCAATATACCAGAAACCGTAATCGGTGAGTTTGAAGAAGTTAACCTATCAATATACCAGAAACCGTAATCGGTGAGTTTGAAGAAGTTGACCTATCAATATATCAGAAACCGTAATCGGTGAGTTTGAAGAAGTTGACCTATCAATATATCAGAAACGGTAATCGTTGAGTTTGAAGAAGTTAACCTATCAATATACCAGAAACCGTAATCGGTGAGTTGGAAGAAGTTGACCTATCAATATATCAGAAACGGTAATCGTTGAGTTTGAAGAAGTTTACCTATCAATATATCAGAAACGGTAATCGTTGAGTTTGAAGAAGTTAACCTATCAATATACCAGAAACCGTAATCGTTGAGTTTGAAGAAGTTGACCTATCAATATACCAGAAACCGTAATCGATGAGTTTGAAGAAGTTAACCTATCAATATACCAGAAACAGTAATCGTTGAGTTTGGAGAAGTTGACGTATCAATATATCAGAAACCGTAATCGATGAGTTTGAAGAAGTTAACCTATCAATATACCAGAAACGGTAATCGTTGAGTTTGGAGAAGTTGACCTATCAATATATCAGAAACCGTAATTGTTGAGTTTGAAGAAGTTAACCTATCAATATACCAGAAACCGTAATCGATGAGTTTGAAGAAGTTAACCTATCAATATACCATAAACCGTAATCGATGAGTTTGAAGAAGTTAACCTATCAATATACCAGAAACCGTAATCGGTGAGTTTGAAGAAGTTGACCTATCAATATATCAGAAACCGTAATCGGTGAGTTTGAAGAAGTTGACCTATCAATATATCAGAAACGGTAATCGTTGAGTTTGAAGAAGTTAACCTATCAATATATCAGAAACCGTAATCGGTGAGTTTGAAGAAGTTGACCTATCAATATATCAGAAACGGTAATCGTTGAGTTTGAAGAAGTTTACCTATCAATATACCAGAAACCGTAATCGTTGAGTTTGAAGAAGTTCACCTATCAATATATCAGAAACGGTAATCGTTGAGTTTGAAGAAGTTAACCTATCAATATACCAGAAACCGTAATCGTTGAGTTTGAAGAAGTTGACATATCAATATACCAGAAACCGTAATCGATGAGTTTGAAGAAGTTAACCTATCAATATACCAGAAACGGTAATCGGTGAGTTTGAAGAAGTTGACCTATCAATATATCAGAAACCGTAATCGTTGAGTTTGAAGAAGTTGACCTATCAATATATTAGAAACCGTAATCGTTGAGTTTGAAGAAGTTAACCTATCAATATACCAGAAACCGTAATGGGTGAGTTTGAAGAAGTTAACCTATCAATATACCAGAAACCGTAATCGTTGAGTTTGAAGAAGTTGACCTATCAATATATCAGAAACCGTAATCGTTGAGTTTGAAGAAGTTGACCTATCAATACACCAGAAACCGTAATCGATGAGTTTGAAGAAGTTTACCTATCAATATATCAGAAACCGTAATCGTTGAGTTTGAAGAAGTTAACCTATCAATATACCAGAAACCGTAATCGGTGAGTTTGAAGAAGTTGACCTATCAATATATCAGAAACCGTAATCGGTGAGTTTGAAGAAGTTGACGTATCAATATATCCCTATAAGAAATTTGAAATATGAAATAACTGTCAGAATTATTGTCAGTTGTAAGTTAAAGACAGAATACCTTCAACTGCCTCCGGCTTAAAACTGTCATTCAAATAGAAATAGTTGTTTAACGGGTTTCATTATTTTTCTTACATCGATATTATTCTACAGAAAATCTTAGATTTGTTGAATAATTGTTAACCTATAACATTTTATTGTTTATTATATATTATTATGGGACTTCAAAAGAACAATTACTTTGGAAAAACATATTATATTTATGAGATATGAAAGTTGGAATAAAGATTTGCCTGTAATTTTACTTATTGCGCAATAAATAACAATGGCTCCAAATTAAAACCAAGATGTTCGACCGCTTTGAAATTAATGAAGAAAAAATTGAGCAATTAGTATTTATGCTACATGTTTTATAAACGAATTACCGTTTTGTCTTAACGAATTACAGCAGCCTTTACAAAGAATAAAATTTGTTAAAATACACATTCTGGATCTTAATACCTATTAGTATCTGACCGGAATTATTCATATTGATTTTAAATAAAACAAATATTTATGCAAAAGCCGACTTAAAATTTCGAGTTTAAAGTACAAAAATCCATCTGTTTCAAAGATTTCAATGTCTTAGATGTTTTAAATGCATTTCTCGATTAACAGCAACTCTGATAAACTTTGGAGTATAATGCAAAAAGAATTGGTTTAAAATCGCTTACCGCTCGGTGCCTTCCCTGCACTACCCATCATTGTTTGATCTGGTCACTGATTGTCAGCTATAGTCCACTATGAGAAGGTTGTTTATTTATTTGTATGTTGTATTGGTGTATAATAATAAGA